AGAAGAATGTTAGAGATGGAGCTACCAGGTAGGAGAAAAACAGGAAGGCCAAAGAGGAGATATATGGATGCAGTGAGGGAGGACATGCAGATAGTTGGAGTCGGAGTCGAAGATGCAGAGAACAGGGAGAGATGGAAAACAATGATTCACTGTGGCAACCCCTGAACAATGGACAAAGCTGAAAGAAAAAGAAGAAAAAAAGAATTATTTAAGTCTCACTCTCTATTCATTTAATGTATTGTATGGTGGATGTAAAAATAATACATTATGCTTTACACATGGCTGTATCCAATAATCCAATAATTCCACCAGCCAGCTACTGTTGCTCTAGTAAACTGTCAAGAAACATAAGCATGGTGAGCTTAAATAGCATCTCAGCACCTAGCATGTGTTTGTGGAAGCTTCAACTTCAAGTCTGACGCTCAACACGTAATGAATTGATTATTGACTTCATCGAAATTTTGAAAGCAATTCTTGTTCTTCAGGCCAATAGGAAGCTACACAGCAATGTGTAAAATCCACTAATGCTAAAGAGGTGAAGTCTGACCTACAGCTTTACGTTTGAGGTGTTTCCATTAGAATAATTACATTATTTGGATTAGTTTTGAATAAAACAGGTGTAAAACACATAAACCTACCTGCTGCAATTTGCCTTTCTGTTCCAGCAAAGAGACATGAATGATGTCTAAGCACCCGCTTCCTGTTGGGTCCAGTTCTGAATCTAATAACTCAGCCCCTCCTACATGGTAGTTGCAGAAAGGTTAATAAAGGGCAAATGGATCAATGCTTCAATTAAGTGGCTGATCTCTGTCCCTACAGTGAACGGCGGTTGGTCCACGTGGACAGAGTGGTCAGTGTGCAGCAGCCGCTGTGGCAAAGGTTTCCAGAAACGGACCAGAAGTTGCACTAATCCTGCACCTCTGAACGGAGGACTGCCCTGTGAAGGACTGGCCATTCAGAGACTGTCCTGCACCACAATGTGCACAGGTGACTCTCCTCAAGTCTTTTATTTGTCACATGTACACCAGCAGCAAAATAAGTATTATGCTAGCAGAATAGACATATATGGAAATGTCAAACATTTAAGGCACAGGACACTGGAATCTTCATAGAATAAAAATATATTATATATTTTTATATAATATATTATTACAAGTAATATAATACACATAATTATATCATTATTATATGAATATAATGGTTTATTTTATTATAAATTGAAATTATATTATCATATAAAGCAACAATAACACATGTTAATATTATATGAATGATATTATTATAATACAATGAATTATAATATTATACTATATAGTGACGATAAAACAATAATTATTAATTAATATGTCATAGTGTAAATATGATAGTATTGTATAATAAATTAAAATATTATAAATAGACATTAGTCAATATATAAATATAATGAATATAAACAGTAGTACTATAAATAGTATAAAGGCATCAATAATAAAATAAAATAAATATCTATAACATAGCAATATTCTATATATATGTATTTGTGATAGTATAAACATAAATGTGTTTTTTTTTTTTTTTTAAATTCCAAGTGATTTTATTTCAGATTCATATTGTTTATGAGGCATGGTTATATTTATTTTGGAAAATGTAATAATTCAGTGAATAATATCTATATTCTATTTTATTGCATTGTTTTAGCTTTGGTCTCCCCCTGTAGTGTATTGCATTGTGTTCATCTTCTGCTGCATAACTCCATGCACTGTACACTCTACACTTTATTAACTTAGAGGAGGTCTGGGTAGAAACAGGGACAATATTTCTTCTAATCTATTCTGCCTTTTCTGGAGATTCTAACCCTTTGGCTCCTTTCCTTCATCTCCTTCTGTAGTGGATGGTGTGTGGACAGAGTGGAGTAAGTGGTCCGCCTGTGGGACAGAGTGTACCCAGTGGAGGAGGAGGGAGTGCAACAACCCTGCTCCTAAAAATGGAGGAAAGGACTGCGAAGGACTCGTGCTTCAGTCACAGAACTGTACCGACGGACTCTGCATGCAAAGTGAGTGATAACTAATGGTTCCATCAAAGGCTCTCACCACAGTATGCTGAAATCAAACATTTTGACCAACAAAGGAAATTTTTGTTAAAGTATCATTTAAGCAAGTAGCTTTTCTACATTTAGTTTATCTTTGTCTTTAGCTTATCACCAGTGTCAACATCAAATGAATTTCTCTTATACTGCTTTCCTTTTTTCCACTGGTTTCTCTTTTCCCATCATTCATACAACCACACAGCTCTCCTTCTTCTTCTTCCTCTTCTTCTGTCTTTTTTGTAATCTTCTACTTCTTCTTCTTCTGATTCAGCAAAACCACCTCCTTGTATAGATTTGTTCTCTTATCTCTCATGACTTAAAAACAGAGGAACATGTCTAAAAACGTTAAAAAATGTGAAAATATGGGGCCATTTTAATTCTCTTGGTGGAAAGTATGCTCTGAGTCATCATGACACAAATTGTAGCAACATTTTGGTTGCATGGTGAATTGAACAATGCTTGTTTCTTCCTGTGCTGAAGAATAACTGTCAGACAAGCTGCTCTAGAGTGAAGGAGAAAAAAATGGTAGAAAAGTGAGAACTTGATATGACTTTTTTTTATTTTAAAAATTAAGTTTTATTTTATTTTAAATTAAAGAAGACTTTATATTTCATGACTCATCATTAATTTGTGCTTATTTTAATGCCATATAAAATAATTAAAATAAAATATATAAATAAAAGAGTTACAGGTAAAAACAGCCCATGTTAAAAGCTCCATCATTGGCTCTGAACAAAGCAAATACAAGTAGGTTCACATGAATGACTAAGAATTTGATTAAACTTAGCTAAACATAACTATAAATATAAGTATATCCAAAAACATCAGTAAATAACTACAAATAAAAGGTAGAAAAATATCTTTAAGATAACAAAAATATTTATTTTTACCAAAATATATCTTAAAGTTGTAAGAAAATAGCTAAACATTAGCAGTAATACTTGTGAAAATTTGACAGTACCACAGTCTGCTTAAGGAGAACAGCACATTTCCATGTAAATAAATCCCTAAAACCTAGTGACAGTGATGCAGAAGTATGCCATTAATCAAGATGATTTACTGAGAATGGATTTGTAAAGTGCATGAAAAGTGTATGAAATATTATCTTTTCCATCAGATTTTTTGATTTTTAAACAAACCAGAAAATGGGAAGAAAAAAAAGCCTTGACGGTTGTGATTGACTTCCCTCTGCAGTAGAAGGAAAATGGATGTCAGTGATGATTTAATAGATGTCACAGGTGTGATAATATGAGGTAATCCCTCCGAAGCTATTTCTGTAGGCACATTATTGACAGAAGTTACAGTACACGCAGAGTCCCACCCACTCCCAACACTGTACTGTACTATAGTGAGGCTCTGCTCCATCAGAGGGATTCCCTGAGGCCTGTGAAATATGGCTACGGAATCTGGCATAAAACCCAGAGAGGTATGGATTTAGGCTCATTTCCCCTGAATGATTTTCTGTCTTAAAAATTACTCTGCAGACCTGGGTTTATGTCAGCACAAATTTTTCAGCTGCTTCCTGTATCATTAACAGAAGCCTCAGCGTATGTGTGTGTGTGAGTGTGTCTTGGTGTGTGTGTTGGTTGTTGGTGGTTTTGTAATAAAGAACACTTGATGATTTTGGAAAAAGTGTTGACAGATATTAATATCTGCAACCATAAGCTACATCATGCATCACATCTGGTGTTGATTTGCTATAAAAGGTCTGGGATTCCTGGTAAATCACTCTGTGCCTTATTTTATTGGCATTTGTGCACATATGTGTGCACATATATATGTGCGTGTGTGTGTTTCCTAAATAACAGAGACAGAGGTAGCACATTTTTGTGTTTTCAGAGTTGGATTTTGTCTATTTTTGGCTCATTGACATTTTTGTGACACAGGTGGAATTCTTCTTCACTCCCAGCTTTGCTGTGTGATCTCTGAGTGTGACATTTCACCCTTT